TCTAATCCTCCTGCGAGGACAAAAAAATTAGCTATAATTATTACTCTACTCGCATTGATTTAGAAAACAACCGCAGCTGAAACAGTGCTGTCCGTAAATAAAATCAAACATAAATAACAAAAACAAAAAGAATGACAAAATAAACAACAAACAAGTCCTGTTTTTGAAAATGTAATTTTTAAAAATGTGAAAATATTGCCCATAATTTGGGCATATTTAATGTATAAATATTTGACTTAACAATGAAATATACCATGACTTCCACCTACTTACAGTAAATGGCCCAGCTAGGGCATCTCTTATTTTGTTAGCACGAGCTTCTGTGCTAATATGACAATGGATGGTTGCAAAGCTCAGATAAACTTTATCACACAATAAAAAAAAAGTACATTCATTTACTTGACATATTTCCATTCAGTCCAAGGATTTATTCATCAATTAAAGATTATAGTTCTGACAGTCGTACTGTGGGGTAGCAAAGTTGCTTGAAAGTTACTGGACATTGCTGTTACATGCTGCGTGTAGCTGGAAAAAGTGGCTAAAAACGCTAGACGTGTGTCTGCGTGCAGGGCTTAGTGCTCATACTGCAAATATCGTTTGAACCTCTTTCTGTGTTTTGAGTAAGCCGCGAGACAGCTTACACATGGGGCTCAACTACTCTGTTTCATTTCCTTCTTGAGGCCACATCATAATGAATCGCCTGTGCCACCGTTCCTGCTAGTGTCCCCTGCTGATCACAGCTGTCGTAAACATGTCATCGTACGGCTCGCCACTCGGCCCACCCCCCCGGTGAATCTGGCCTTGAAGGTGGATGGGGAGAGCCAGGCGACGGTGGAAATGAGAGGCGTGAGTGTGAGACGGTGAGGGTAGGGCGAAAGGGTCGTAGAGGGCGTTGTTAGCCTGTAGCAGGCATCACTTCCTCCATTGCCTTCAGAAGGTTTGTTGATCAGGACTTGGTTTCTTGTTGTACGCCGTCATTGAGGTGCCATTGAGAGCATGTTACGACGACAAACTGAGGATGGGCATTTGAAAGAATTTCCTTGATCAATATGAATGTCCTAATTGGAATATATCTCGTCCTGTTTTTTTGATCCCACCGTCTGATTGAAAAGATTCATGCTACCCGAATGAGTTGTGTCACTCTATATTGCTCAACTTCCATTGATGTTTTGTTATTCCTCTTTAGACCACACACAAGAGTCCTGCATTGCAATTTAGTAAGTGGGCAGGTAGATTCTTTTTTTTGATCAACTCCGAGCATGTTGAGCACTTGAAGACCCACCAAACATTACACCTTGTATGTTAACAGTCACCTAAGTCTTTAGAAGGGCCTCTGTAACTAGTTATGGTAACGAAAACCCTCCTTTCTTCGCCTGCTAATTTTTGCCCACCAAAGTAGACCACCAATGTAGTTTGCTTAAAGGGGTTCCTATCTCAAATTGAGCCTTCCTCCTGGTCCCCCCCTGGTCCTGACCTGACTGCTGGTGGGGCCCCAAAAGAAGAGGAGAGGCTGTAAGGAATTGCCCCCCGGAGACCATCCATCTCCGTAGTCCCCACGTGAGGTGTGCGTGATTTACAGCGTGTGGGAACAGATTGATGCGCTGCTGTTTGAGCGGGCTGCCATTCCACTCGCGGAGGCTCATTAGTGAACTTCTGCTGGGCTTCCGCATACCAATGGACAACGTTCACATCAACATCGACTCCGGGAGCCGCCTCTGGCATTTGGCCGTTGTTAGCATCTTGACTACGCTGTTTCCGTGACTTTGGATGAAGGGCGGAGAGTGGCGGTGCTGTCCCGCTCACCACAGCCACTGCTAATGAAACACTTGCTTACGTTATGGAGTGGCCTTGAGTGTCAAGATGTTGAGCTGTTCTCAGAACCCTTCCTACCACTATCATAAAACGATTCTGTGTTGTTAGTCAAGCAGGCAGACTTTGGGCAATTACTGCAGAATGTTCTGTGTCTTTGGAAACCTTAATTATATGGAAAACAACACTTGCGCGTACACTGGACCCTTTATTAGGTACGTCTGCAGAGCATAAAGAGATCTAAGAAAAGAACTATCACAAATTATGCATTTGCAAAGATAATAATACTCAGTGGAGTGTTGTTCACAATGGACATCATTCTATAGAACAATATAGATAATTTTATGCCGATAACAATATATACTCCAATTACATTTATTTTCTCTTAGGTTTTCTCCTTTTATTGATTTTATCGAAAACCCAAAATAAATGGTAAAAACAAATAAAAATTGAGGAATTGCGAGTACCAATACCAGGAATCGTATCGGGCCGATATCGGCCTTTTTACAAGGTATCGAGACCTCACGAAGGCTGCCGATACCAGTCACCGGCGCCCTCTTATGGCCGTTGGCCTACTAGGAAGTAAATGGCGTGCATGACTGACAGATTGTTTTGTAAGTGAGCTGCATCCATGTCAAACCGGGAATCCGTGACACTTGCCAGACTGTTCAACTCAGCTCACAAGTGACCCGGGTCACATTTGACAGTAACATTTGCCTCTCGAGCAACGTCATTACTGCTGCCCGGTCTCCAGTCATGACTAATTGACACTCAATTATTATGCATTAGATGTTTGGTCAAAATTACACAATATAAATGAGGGCGATATATTGTACAGTAGGGGTTTTTTGGTTTTGGTTTTGTTTTGTTTTTTGTTTTTTTTAAATCGCATTACAATATAAAGTCCCCTCCAAAAGTATCGAAACGGCATCGTCAGTTCCTTTCTTTTTGGTATATTCTAAAGATTTCACATGAACAATAACATTTGGGGCTCGGATCAAAAGATGAATCTCTGAATTTCTTTTGTTTGAAGCCGCCCATTTTTCAAGTAAGCAAAAGTATTAGAACGGACGTTATTAAATTCTCTTCAAGTGACCAACGTTGCATAAATGCTGGCATTACCCTTCCTCACAATAACTGCATCAATCTTGAGACCCCTTGACTTCGCCCCACTATTGTATTGTTCATTTCAAATGCTTTTACAGACCTTTACTCCAGCCTCTTTCAGTTCTTTATTTCTGGGGGTATCTCCCCTCACTCTCCAAGAGGTAAAATGCAAGCTCTCCTAAATTAAGGTCCAGTGATTAACTTGGCCATTCGAAGACCTTCCACTTTTTCTCACTGCTGAAGTTCTTTGTTGTGTTCCCACATATTTGGTATTGGAGTAATCTGAAAGTCATATGTATTCAAATTACATTACTATTATGGTACTTGGATTCCGTTCCGAACAGGTAACTGTATCAGAATACGTTTTTCAAGTCACCCTCCCAACCCTGATTGTTATATCCTACAGCTCTACTCAGTGGGCAGCAAAGTGACTGGCGACCATTCCCATGTTTACTCTCTCGGCCAAAAGTCTACCCCTCCCCCCCCATAAAAAAAAAAAAACTTTTCTCAAGTCAGGTGATGTGAGTCATTTGCTGACAGTTGCATTAGGCCTTATTATGTTTGGTACCACGAACAAAGTTGCACCACAAACAGCCCTGGGGCGTAAGCTGCAGTGAGTAAACGAGCTGGTGGATGGAAACAAGCCACATGGGGGTAGCAGTCGTTCGCAGCTCAAGTCAGAGGTATAGGCAGACAGGAAGGCGGAGCTCCAGAGCCCAGCTAAGTTTTATGAGCCATCTCTCTTCTCCCACATGGACGCTGCTGTGAGGAACCTTTGAAGTCGGGCCTGCTTCACCTCAGGGTGTGCAGTTTGGCCATTGTTGTACATTTAGCCCTGCTCAACAAGATGGATGCCTGGCTCCCAGCTCAGTGTGTGTTCAGTGTATTCATGAATGAGCAATTCGGGGGGTTACAGTATGTGTGGGTGTGCTAAGCAGCCTTTCAAAAAGTACAGTGTTGAAGATTAGGATGGGAAAAAAAAGCTAATAGCGGTTACAACAATAGCAAATAAGAGACGAAGCGTGCTTGCGTCGAGCTGCTTGTCACTCTCACTTGAAGTTGACCGTTAAACTGACGCATCAAGAAAAGAAAAGTGAATTTTGTGTATTTGAACTGCAAAATGTTCAAACCACCCATGTCATTTCATCGAACGAAAGGCTCATGCCAAGATATATTGTATAATAGGCTCATCGATATGAGCGTAATTTTAACGCTTCAGTCAATTGCAACTTTAAGGAGTGTATCAGCAACGCATACAAAGAGAACGTGCTACAGTGCTCACAGGCATGTATAATATTCTCTTTCTCTCTGCGCTGTGGGAGCGACGACAATTACTGGAGCTCAGAGCAAGAAGTCTCGCTCTTAATTAGGCTTCGAGTCGACCGTAGTGCTGCCTTTCATCTTGCAAGACACGCAACTCTATATTCAGACTTTCCTGCTCTGGACTGTAAAAGACATCAAACAAAACAATAGGTTAAAAATCTGCGATACAGCAGGGGCACAAATAAACCGCGACATAGTGGAGGAAGAATTGTTAAGTCTCAAAATAATGGCAACAAACCATTTAAAAATTAATCATCATAAAAATAATAATCTGCCCTTTGTTTATTAAAACAAAGTTGGGACTCGAGATGGGAGCAGTAATTGCTTCATTGAGTTTTAATTTTTTCCCCAAAGTTATGTTAATTGTGTGGCTTTTTTTTTTGGTGGTGTGCTATTTAAAAAATAATAATCATAAAAATAATAATATGCCCTTTGTTTATTAAAACAAAATTGGGACTTAAGATGGGAGCAATAATTGCTAAATTGATTTTTATTTTTTTTTTCCCAAAATTCTGTTAGTTGTGTGGCTTTTTTTTTTTTTTTTTGGTGTTGTAGCAAAAAAAAAATAATAATAATAATAAGTTCACTACTTGGCTGCAACCAGCAGAGGCGCTGTTGATGCGGTTCGCTTGCTGTCTGGAGAAATGATGTCAGCCAAGAAAATGAGTATTCATCCACGTATTATCACACAACCTCGTCCGGGTTCCAACATTGTGCCATTGAATGAAGAAGGCTCAAGCAAACCTTTTTGTCCCCCTCAGACACGGACCCCCGCCTTCTGGAGAAGCAGGAGCAGCAGCAGCCCACCTATGTTGCCCTCAGTTACATTAACAGGTAACCAAATGCTCCAAGCGACAAGATGAGTCCATCCACTTCACCGTGTTTCAACAAACGCTGGGATGTGCGCCGCCGAGGTTTAGCGCTGAGCCGTATGAAAGCTCCTTTGGAGACCCGACTGCCGTTTCAGACGTCATCTGGGGGATCGTTTCGAGAAGTTGAATCACGATTCGGTAGCTGGTTTTGTTTTTACAACACCGAGTCAACTTTGATTTGGTGACTGAGTCGCGCATTACGGAGAAACCTCTGCTGATGCGTTCCCAGCCTACGTAAAAGCACGTTTATGTGGTTATCACTTAATTGAATTCCATTTTTTTTGCTCGAACATGTTCATTTTTATGACGTGCATTTAAACCAAGTGTCCATAAATCCCATGTGTTTGCCTTTTTATAGGACTAGAGCTGGCAGTGTTTTTTTTTTTTCTTCTTCTTCTTACCCAACCCTGCAAACTTTGGACTAAAAGCATTTGAGTCACCATTTTTTTGTTCTCTAAGAAGGAGCTGAAGAGCAGAATTCACAGCAGTTGTGATGGTCCATTAGTAGAACAATAAATGTTGTGGTTTAATTAAAATTGGTAATTAAGCAGTCCCGTTCATTATGTTGCTGTCTGGTCACATTTTGACATCATGACTCCAGTAATTTGCCATTGTGATACACAGAAATGGCAACTTAGCTTAGTCTCTCACGGCAGGCTGCAACAAAGTTACGGAGAGACTGGAAGAGTTACAGAGAGGCACTGATCAAGCACCTATTCAGAATTTTGGCATTCGACTCCTTGTTTGCGAACAGAAAGTTGTGCGAAAGGTACTAAACCATTGAACATGAGCAACCAGAAGTTTAGAGAAGGTAAAAGTGAGGACAAAAACGTCTGCTAAATTGGCACCCCAAAGAAAAGAGTCTTGCCAAATTTGAGTGATTTTAAAAAAAAAAATAAAAAATCCAAATAAGCTCTCTTCTGTGGATTAATACCTCATTGTTTTCCTGCAGGTTCATGACCGAAGCAGCCAGGCGAGAGCACGAGGCGCTGAAGAAGAAGATGCAGCCCAAGTTGTCTCTGTGTTTAACGGGAAGCCTGTGTCGCGGCGGCGTGTCGGCGGCGCCGCCTCGCCACGCCAGCGGCAGCCTCACCCCTCCGGTCACCCCGCCCATCACCCCCTCCTCGTCTTTTCGCAGCATCACGCCCACAGGTAACCTTTAGCGCCACGCGGCCAGCTCGCACCTCGCTCTCAACCCGTTCATTGTATCCCGCCTTTAAACTGGCTCGCCATCACCATGACGACAATCTGATAAGGAAACACCTCGATGACGCGACTCTTCAAACGCACACACGCAGGCAGCGAGTGCGACGAAGAGGAGGTGGACTTCGAGGAGTCCGACAGCGACGAGTCGTGGACCACCGAGAGCGCCATCAGCTCCCAATCCATCCTCAGCTCCATGTGCATGAACGGCGGCGACGAAAAACCCTTTGCCTGCCCCATCCCGGGCTGCAAAAAGAGATACAAGGTTGCTGCAACACTACGTTCACCATCAGATGCCTGGGTGGAGGAATCCTCTGAGGATAAAGTCATGCAAGAATATAAGAATAGGTTGGAAATATTGGGGGGGGGTGGAGATATAAGTCTTAAATAAAAAAATTCGCTCTGATTTCAAATGAAAGTCCTAATCCGACAAGAATGAATTTGTTGGAATATTACAAGAGTAATGTTGTAAATCTACAAGAATATGGTGTGACTATTATGAGAGTCAAAATATTGAAAGAAAAATGATACGAAAATCATAAAAGAATAAAAGCGTCAATTGCAAGAATGAAGTGGTAATATCACAAGAAGAAATTATATATATATATAATTTAAAAAAATAAAAAATCCAACTTAATATTACAAGAACAAGTTGTAGTATTCAGATAAGGAATTAAATGAGAATAACATTGAAATACTGAGAGATAAAAGTTGGAAAGTTGGAATTCTCAGAAAAATAAATTCATTTCAAATGACGGTGGTGGTATTGCAAGAAAAAGCCCAAATTTGACCAGAGTTATGTTTTAATATTATGAGAGTAAGGTGATATTAGATTTTTTTTTTTTTTTTTATGTACTGGACATATAAAAGTCCTCATTTCACAACAGTAAAGTTTAAAGAGTTCAAGAGAGTCATGTTTTATGAGCATTAAATACTGTATTACCAGAGAAAAGTCCACATTTTACCAGACTGAAGTCAACATTTGACAAGAGTTAATTCATACCACAAACTATTAAGTAATCATTTTGAAAAAATCTGCTCCCATGTGTTGTAAGTTCACACCAAGTACAACTTGTTTTCTCCTCGCAGAACGTCAACGGGATCAAGTATCACGCCAAGAACGGCCACCGGACGCAGATCCGAGTGCGCAAGCCCTTCAAGTGCCGCTGCGGCAAGAGCTACAAGACATCTCAGGGTCTCCGGCACCACACCATCAACTTCCACCCGCCCGTCTCCGTTGACCTCATCCATCGCAAGATGCAGCAGTAGCGCCCCAGGTGGACCACATCCACCGTCACCAGCAGACTTTTCTTCTTCATCATCTTCTCTTCTGCTCACCGTGTGCTATGACACTAGATTTTTTTTTTTTTTTTTTTGCATGCTTTGAAATGAGATTTTATACTGAATGTTCAATCTTATGAGTAGGTCACCATTTTGTAATTTGCACATTGAAGCTGCGATTTTTTTACTTTTTTGTTTTTTTTAACTTTGGACTTCAACTGTGCATGTTGGTGATCATGTAAATAAGACTGAAATGGGATTTTGTTTTTAACCTTGCAAAATGCCTTTGTCATTCAACAATGTGCCAAACGGGGGACCCAAATATGCATACTGGCCACAATATTAGGTACACCTGCACAGTCTTCGTCATGACAAGGGCTGCTGTTCTCAATATGATACGGCTCACTTTTTACAAGGCATTTAACATGATTGAACCAGAACTGTTCATTGTCTTGGTGTGAATGTGTGCGTGAATGCTTCTTTGTCTACATGTGATCTGCAGTTAGTGGGTGTACCCCCATCTCTCTCCCGAGGTGGAGCTGGGATGTGCTCCAGCATACCGAAATGAGGCGGAGCAATATAGAAAATCGATGGATGGAAATAACTGATGTTGTAGCCATTTGAGGAAAAAGAAGTGTAATTAGGGAGGGAAGAGGGGGAGGGGAATGTGCTACTACTTTTTCCTGGGTCACAGGTGTGCTGAAGCCAATCCCATCTGACTGGGCAAAATGCGGTGTACATCCTGGAATAGTTGTCAGCCCAGGTATTTTTATTAATAGAATCAAACTTTTCTGCTTTTATTCTCTTACCACCATTTTTCTTGAAGTATTTCTGCAATGTTACATTGTCGCTCTATTTCTCCTTTATAACTGAAATACATTTTTTATTGTTGTGGCCAGTGTGGATATGTTAGCCAGCATTTGACTTCATTTCAATCAATTTGGGTCCCCCCCCCACCCCTCCCTTCCAAATCACCAACACCCGAGTGCCTGAGGGTGAACTCAGGTAACATTTGCAAAGCATTTCAGCAACCCTCCCCAACATGTGTTCAGCCAGTGTTTAAGCTCTCCTCTGCTATCATTTAGCTTCATTTTACCTATGCAGTTTTGGAAGCACTTTTTGTTTTTTGGAACAAGTTGCCAACGAATGAGCATTTTTGTCAACCTCACGTTCCTAGTGTATGTAAATATATACAGTAAATGTGGAAGCCATTTGCAAAAATGAGCACCAAAGTTAAAAGAGTATTTTGCGTTTTGTGACGTTCGTCCTTGCCTTGAATTGTGAACCATTCCGTGATGACTGTGGAGGGGCCCAAAAGCTTCCCTGTCCTGTGAAGCCATGTTAGACGGCAGGGGTGGGAAACCTTTTTCTGATCTGTCTGTATGAAATCCTTCCAAGGCCAAAAAATTCCATGAGTATTTATGGGTTAAATGTCAAGGGCAGGAGGGGGATTTTTTTCCAACAGTTCCAAAGAGGTTGTATTTGGCCCTCTATACGTAGGTTCCCCACCCCTGCTATAAAGTGGGGCCTTGACTTGTCTTTGTACTAGTTTTCATATTGCTCCAGCATAATTATAGCGTATCGTTGAACCTAACTAAAGGTTACCATGTTTAAAAATTGTCTTGGCATGGAACTTCAGTCTAATGGCAAGTTGCGTCAGTATTGTACTGCCAAAAATCTTGATTTTAGCATACAGTGAATGTATTAGCAGTAAAGTGCATCAAATTATATTTTCGTATGTTCCTAGGGCACTATTGTGTAATGAGTAAATGCAAATAGAATATTGTTGACGTACTGTATTTCCCCCAAAAAGCTGCTTCATTTTTCAAATAAAAGGTGTTCTGATGTTTAAAAGGATCTTTATTATTTCCATGAACAGAGAAAACAAATACATGAAGAAAAAGAATAACGGTAAAACTGGAACTCAACAACATGCAATGACTCACCAACTAAATACTCAAAGCCGATAGAAGAGAAACGCGGTGGTACACAGTTATCAATGCTGTCACAATATCATTGGTGTACTTATTCTAAAATATATCTGACCATTCTGTGTAATGTCTGCATATCATGGAACGTGGGCACACACCCGCCCACACACACACGTACGCACACACACACACAGGCTTTTTGTAAAGCAGGAGTGAAGAACCTGCTTTGGTTGTAATGATATTACGTTATGAGTATGTGTGGCTGGCTGGTTACAAGAGGTCGCATATGTCCCCCGCCCCTGGCCATAAGGGTCCCACCTCTAAGATATCTTCAACAGTGTAAGGTTAAACATTTGGTTTTCAGGATTATCTGTAAATTGGAAATGCTAATTAACAGCATTTCCACACACAAAAAAAAAAACCAGAAGGAAACTCAAAAGAATTCTGATTTACTGCCAAGCGCCTGTCTATGAAAGAAAGCGGTACAGGATGGATGTTAACACCACCGTCATGCACCAAACGAGAGCATCAATGTGTCAGCGGCGGCTAATCAAATTCGAGCAGGTGACCGTCGAAGTGGGTGAGCACGTGGTTCTCAAAGGCCTTCTGGTCGCAGTCCAGCGGGAACTGCTCACTGCACATGGGGCAGATCTTCCAGTGGCTCTCCACGTGCTCCTCGAACTTGGATTGGTCGTAGTTGGGTGGGAAGATGACCTCACACAGCGGGCATCGCTTCATGTCCATGCTGCATGCACGCACACAGGGAAGCATTATTTAAATTATAAGATGTTGTTTGTCAGCAGCAGAAGTACTCACACTTTAAAAAAAGACTGGTAAAAGAAGTACTGATTCAACGCTGGTACTTCAGTAAAAATAAACAAGTACATCTTGAAATTTGGTCAAAAACTATCTGGAAAAGTTTACTTGCATCTCAGATTTGAAAAAAAGTATTATTATATCTATTATATGAAGTGAGGAAGAAACAGCTGTTAAAAATCGTTTTTACTTTTACTTTTCCAAGTATATTTCAGAGCCTGTACTTTTCCACAGTTGAGTAATTCTTTGAATGAGAACCTAAGTTATTTTTCACCCAAGTAATTGCACTTCTATCCAAGTACTTCCCACCCCCCGATCTCTGATGAGCAAGCAGCCAAGTGATGACGTGGGCAAAGCAGACGCACAAGGTAGTAAAGCACACGTCTGATGCGACGTGGGTGGGCCGCCTCCCCGCACGCTAAAGGCTGGGTAGCGTGGGGGGTTTTGTATGGCAGAACAAACACGTTACACATGTTACCATGCACGGCGTTCGTAAAGCGCTGTCGATGGCAAACTGGCTCGTCGTTTATGAAAAGGTGTTTTACCTTGGCTCAAAGCAAAAGGGAGTTTGCCCATCATTCACAAACGGGGTGGGGGGTTCTGTTGCGGTGGGCTTCGCGTTGATGTTAACCTGAGAGGTGATACATACAATCATTAACCATTGACAACAATCTGGTCGAATTCTAAATTGTTTCAATGCCATCATAAAAAAAAGTAACACATTCAACAACGCTATGCAGTGGAATGCAGTTTTCAAATCGGAAAGGCTGCAATTTTTTTTTGGGGGGGGGGTGCTGCTTATGCGCAGCAACTAACGATCTGCAAAATAGCGTGCAGCAAACATTACATACAACAAGGTGATTTCTGTCACACTGAGCAATGCTAGACGGCATCAATATAGAATACCGCCTTTGGAGAGTAGGTTCCAAATCTCTCCCTTTGGGGAAATTTATACCTTGTATCAAATATACCATCTGTAACGTGCACCGCAAGCTGGAACTAAAAAGTGTAGCGTATAAATCAGAGGTGAGAAAGGAGAGCCCTCTCATTGTTTTAGATTACAAAGAATCCAGTAATATTTGGCGCATGCACGCGCACGCACTTTTCCTCTTTGCAAACACTGGTACTCTTCTGTGGTGACGTGACACACACGCACACGCACGCGCACACGCACACGCACACGCACGCACACGCACACACAAAAAGAAATGGTAAGCATTCACTCAAGTCTCCAAAAATTTGCAAAAAACAAGGAGAGGCTGTTACGTTGTTGTTGTTGTTGTTTCTTGGCGTATCCTCAGATTCCTCGACGCCTTCGGGCTGAACCTGGTGGCGGGTGGGTTGGATGCACACCACGTTGCTGTCCCAGGAGGGCGGGCCCACAGGAGGGAAGCAAAGCAGCTGCTCATCCGACAGCTCGTCATCGTTGTCGTCACCTGCGCAGTGGGAGAAAGAGCGACTGAGAATGAGGGGGGATTTTTACCGGTCGTGTACAGCGTTGATTACAAATGACTTTGAATGTTCTTTGGCTAAGTTTTGTTTCTAGCAAATCATCAACTTCGAATTTTATGGCTGCAACAAAAGGAGGGACAGGGTCATGTGCACCACTGGGTTGCATCACCTTTTCTTTTAACAACATTCAATAAATGTGTGGAGACTCAGCACACTAATTATTGAAGCTTTGTCGATGGAATTCCCATTCTATTTTGCGCTTCATAATCCGGTGCACATTTTCAACGAGAGACAGCTCTGACTTTCTTTGATGAACACTGAACATTTGGTTCAATTCCAAACTGTACGACTTTAGAGGTTCCAATGTAAGCCTCCATTCTGAAGATGGCGTGAACCAACCTTTTGAGTCAGTGTATGGGTTCCCAAAGTACAGCTTGGTGGGACTCTGAGACACCAACAGAGGGGTGGGGGCATCCTGGGCGTAGGGTACGGGGTACTGCAGGAATAAAGGCACACTGGACTGAACATTCTCCGCACCGGCTCTCCCACTGGCCCCCTGCTCTGCCTTCTTGCTGCTCTTCTGAAGCTCCTAGAGAGGCAAAGGCAGGGTTGGAATAACTATGACACATTCAGTATTAATATGCAAGGTGTCCCAATTATTTTTGTAGTCTAATAACATAGCTTGTTTCCACGAGCCTAAGCTTAGGGAACACATACTGTGGTGCATTTCTGTCTCGATTTCAAACCGTTCCCACATGTCTTAACGTTGGCGACATGCTTTCGACCAAATACCACACCACACTTTCCAGCCTGTATTTGACCCCTCCCTGAAATTAGCCTCTATTTAAGGGGGTCCTTGTCTCATTAAAATGGGCCAACGATGCACCGCACCCCGTCTCCTGGGGTCCAATACCGGCTATGGATTTCATTAACATGACAACAAGGGCCAGAGCGAATGAGGTACTACTTGTTGAGTGCCAAATCTAAAATAGTAAGTGTGTGTATCAATAAAATTTTGTGAAATCAATATCAAATCTAGATCCGTTTGAACAAGTTGTCAGAATGTTGTTTTGACAAAAAAAAAATCTTTTTCAACTTGAAACGTATTTAATCTGGCGTAGATCTTGGCCAGGTCTTTCATAGGTGTAAAAAAATACAGAAATGTTGACATAATAGTTCATCTTCATGCTAAAATAAGTATCTTTTTTAAAATAATTGTTATAATTAATTATGGTAACTCACTATTTATTAGAACACAAAATCTATTATTTCTATATGTTTTTTTTGTTTGTTTTTAATTCTACTACTTACAATACATTAAATCAATCAATTTGCTCGGTCGGCCAAAAAAAAAAAA